CTCTTTATATCTCCTAGTTTCAACCTGAAATAGAACCTTCTCTGTATATATCCTAGTTCCAACCTAAAATAGAACCTGATCTGTATATCTCCTAGTTCAAACCTAAAATAGAACCTACTCTGTATATATACTAGTTCCAACTAGAAATAGAACCTACTCTGAATATCTCCTAGTTCCAACCAGAAGTAGAACCTGATCTGTATATCTCCTAGTTCCAGCCTGAAATAGAACCTACTCTGTATATCTCCTTGTTCCAACCAGAAATAGAACCCACTTAGTATATCTCCTAGTTCCAACCTGAAATAGAACCTGATCTGTATATATCCTAGTTCCAACCAGAATAGAACCTTCTCTGTATATATCCTAGTTCCAACCAGAAATAGAACCTTCTCTGTATATATCCTATTTCCAACCTGAAATAGAACCTACTCTGTATATCTCCTAGTTCCAACCTGAAATAGAACCTGATCTGTATATATCCTAGTTCCAATCAGAAATAGAACCTGATCTGTATATATCCTAGTTCCAACCTGAAATAGAACCTACTCTGTATATCTCCTAGTTCCAACCAGAAATAGAACTTTCTCTGTATATCTCCTAGTTCCAAACAGAAATAGAACCTTCTCTGTATATCCTATTTCCAATCTGAAATAGAACCTACTCTGTAAATCTCCTAGTTCCAACGTGTAATAGAACCTACTCTGTATATCTCCTAGTTCCAACCAGAAATAGAACCTTCTCTGCATATCTCCTAGTTCCAACCTGAAATAGAACCTACTCTGTATATCTCCTAGTTCCAACCAGAAATAGAACCTTCTCTGCATATCTCCTAGTTCCAACCTGAAATAGAACCTACTCTGTATATCTCCTAGTTCCAACCTGTAATAGAACCTACTCTGTATATCTCCTAGTTCCAACCTGAAATAGAACCTTCTCTGTTATATATATCTTGTTTGCTCTAACCCAAAACACCGACTGGAGGAAAACTCCGAATAGTTTGATAGATAGATACTGCTGAAGAGGATACCCGGAGTCTAATAGAACGTAAAACCTAAAAGTTTACATATCAACCTTTTTATTTAACATTAAGTAGTATCAGATTGTAGGAAAATAGGAAAGAATAAAACTAAAAGTAGAAAAAAGAATTGAGACTGACACTTTTGTATCTAAAGAACGACCCTCTCCTACAGAGCTAACTCATATCCTCTCTGCTATACGACTGCTTAATCTAAATCGTTTTTTTAATCCTTCCTATACCCTATATCTACTGCAGTATCTAATTATTCAAGGATCAGAAATTGACCAATAAGGGGTAAATCGGCCAATCAGAATTCAAGACTTTGAACGGATTTGAATTTATATTTTTTTTTACAAACTAAGTGCATAAATCTAAAAATTACCGTTGTGGAAATTTAAGTCAAATCTTAAATAGCTCATTTTCTTAGTGGATCTTTAGCTATTTTGTTTAGTGGATAGTAATTCCGTTTTCAGCCATTTTTTTTAGTCGAAAGTAATTCCATTTTCAGCCATTTTGTTTAGTAGATAGTAATTCCGTTTTCAGCCATTTTGTTTAGTGGAAAGTAATTCCATTTTCAGCCATTTTGTTTAGTGGATAGTAATTCCATTTTCAGCCATTTTGTTTAGTGGATAATATTCCCTTTTCTGCCATTTTGTGTAGTGGATAATATTTCCTTTTCAGCCATTTTGTTTAGTGGATATTTATTTCATTTTAAGCCATTTTGTTTAGTGGATATTAATTTCATTTTAAGCCATTTTGTTTAGTGGATAGTAATTCCATTTTTAGCCATTTTGTTTAGTAGATAGTAATTCCATTTTCAGCCATTTTGTTTAGTGGATAATATTCCTTTTTCGGTCATTTTTTTAGTGGATAGTAATTCCATTTTCTGCCATTTTCTTGGGTATTGGGACATTCCAGTAGGTTGTTAGGTAACAAGAGAGCGGGGTTTGGGTTAGAGATGTGTATGGTTCAAACTGAATTGAACCCTACTACTCTTTATACTAACCTGAATCCTACTCTTCTCCATCTAAACCCTACTCTTCTTTTACCTAAACCCTTCTCTTCTCCAACTTATCCCCTACTTTTATCTAACCTAAACCCCTACTATTCTCTAACTTGAACCCTACTTTTCTATGTACTTGAACCCTACTCTTCTCTAAACCTGAAACCTACTCTTCTCCAATCTGAACCCTTCTCTTCTCTAATCTGAACCCTAATCTTCTCTAATCTAAACCTCTACTCTTCTCTAATCTGAACCCTACTCTTCTCTAACCTGAACCCTACTCTTCTCTAAACCTGAAATCTACTCCTCTCAAACCTGAACTCGACTCTTCTCTCAGCAAACCTTCTTTTACCTAACCTGAATCTTGCGTTTCTTTAACCTGAACCAACCTTCGGTCTACTTTTCTTTAATCTAAAACCTACTCTTTTCTTAACAAAATCCTACTCTTCTCTTATACTGGTTTAACGGTTCGGTCCATGACCAATTAAACTGTAAATTTTTAAACCTATAATTCGACCAATTAAACATAAATTTTCAAGTTTCAAGATTGTTGAATAAATTATATTATGAACCAACACGCAATTGAATTCAAATTGATGAACCAACTCCATCTAGCCTTGATCACGTAAAACTAAACACAACTATCTGTATCGGAATTTGTACAAGATTATGTCCTACCTTTATTTAAAAAAGGGAAAGAGACCTTATTCACTTAAATATTTAAAAGACATAGCCCAACAAAAAAGTATTAAATAGCAAGTACGAAAACTCTTTATACTTAAATGGATGAAAATGGTCTCTAAAGTTAGGACTCGCTGGACTATTGCTCAGGATCAGGACCTGTAGTTTATCCCGTGGTTAGTGTAGGGTGCTCTCTACCTTAAACCCAACTTTTTGTAAACTCAACCCTGCTCTTTATGAACTAAACCCTAAGTTTCTATTTTTTAGATCGTAAATTCCACATTTGGAAATAATTCAATCTAAAATTTGCGAATCACAGATTTTTACATAGATCATATAAAAATTTTAAAAAATAAACAGTTTGATTTGGAGAAATATATTTTTTTAAATAAACGTCTAACTTATTTTGATCTTGTGATCGAAGATTACTTTCATCGTGAAAATTCATAATTCGCCAAAAAAAACTATATTTCTGGAAAGTCATTCATATTTATTTGAATTTAGTATAGTAACTATAGTAGTACAACGTCTGATTATGGAATAATTTATATTTAGCTATATATTTATGTAATCCAATATTAACCTGTAAAACTATACGGAAAATAAAAATATTTAGTTTAAAAAATATACATTTGCCTCAAATTTTTACTGGGGAGCTCAGTTTAAAAATTCAAAGTTGACTTTTAAAATAGTGTCCAAGCAAAGCTGGGTTCTCAAGCTAGCACTATATATATATATATTCGTGTAGATATTAAGATAGATAGATACATGATGAAAGGAAAGTAGGAAAGTAGCAAGGAAAGCTATCAAAGGTAATTCTGTCTGCTATTTCTTCCACTAACTGCTAGAAAACAGTGTGTGATCAATAATTTAACAAAGTTATAACTTTATAAGTGTATTTGTGTACAGAACCTGAAGTTATTAATTTGTCACTTTTGTAAAGGTGTCCTTTGATTATTTCTTCTCTGAAAGTGTATATATATATTTATAAGAAATTCAAACTTTTTAACCGGAAAAACTTTTTTTAAAGGTAATATTTTTCTTTGACATTAAAGTCTTATTTAAAAAATATTTCAAAACCTTTTTATTCGTTTTTGTCGTCAATGATTAAATTGGTATTTTTATATTTTATTACAAGAAATGTCTATATGCTACCCATTAGAAGATTCAGATACATATGACAAGAGTATGATAGAAATTCAAGGACTAAATTAAAAGTATTTTAATTGTTTTTAACCCTATCTCTGCTGGGGTACTAGAAAACCAGGATATGCTGGGGGGGGGGTCAATTTGACCCCCCCTCTAAATCCCATGTTTGATGTCCAAATATGACAAATGATACATCATTGGAAAGCTCTTGTGCTCTACCTTTAGAATCTTTGCAAATTTGCAAAAATTAAATAAAATGTTTGCAAAAATAAATTGTCCAAAAAATGGAAAATTATAGATTTTTGAAAAGCTCTTGACCATGCCATTTCAAATATGCAAAATAATTTTCAAAATTTTAAATAAACTGATTTTTAATCAAGAAAAACTAAAAGTGTGCACATTTCCTTTGACAGATTGTTTGCAAAAAATTTGCAATTTTAATTCGCAAAACTTGTGCAATTCGTTTCCTTATGTCAAAGGCTTTCCAAAAAGCTAAATTTTATCAAAATCTGACAAGTGGAAGTGGGTCAAAACAAAGATTTAGTTTGTTACAGGAAAAAAGCAGTCATTCAGGCAGTGTGCCTGAGGACTCAGGCAGTTAGTATTAAAGCCCGGTTTTAGGCCTAAAGGGAGGGCTTTGGGTATGTAGGAAAAGTCAGAAAATTTCAACAGCCTCAGACCAATAATTTTTGAGTTATGTAAAAAAAACTACAGGGGGGGGTCAAATTGCCCCCCCCCCCCAGCAGGAATAGGGTTAAACGCTTTTTTTTCTTACTTACAAGACTGTAAAATGTAAATGTAATTTAAGGAAGAAAAGAAAAGTATTTTAATTCTTTTTTTTAACGATTTTTGTTATTTTTTTACAAGCTGTCAAGTGTAAAAATTTTGTAGTCAAAGATTTGCATCTTTTCCTCAAAAATCGGTCTACTTCGACATTTTCTGCTCCACTTTACATCTCTTTAACTGTCAGGAAATTGTCAAAATAAATATATAAAAGATATGTATATAGATGCAGAAAAGAAAAGATATATATATATTCTATATTAGAATTGAAATACACATGAAAAAATGTATATGTGCACTTTGTATTAAATTGAAGCCACTAAAAAGTTTGTATTCAACTGTATAAAGTATTATCTTTTCAGATTAATGGTCACGAAAAGGAAACTGCATGCCAGTTCTATGACTTTTATCAATTCGGTGGTAATTTTTATCAAGATCTGTGGACTTGGTCTAGTTACAGATAATTAGATTTGAGATCATTTATGTTTTACAGTCTCTGATTTAAAGCTAACATATGTTAAACCTGTTTCATGGTTGGGTCCAGGAGGTCGGACCTGACGTTAGGAGGTCAAGGACTTCTACTGGTCTTTATGTGGGTCCATCGAATACGTCTAGACAACCTGCCCGACTAACTCAAGCTGCATCTTATCAAATTGTCAATATTATTGCTTCCAGGTAAATACAACTTAGAAAATATAATTAAAGATATAAAGATTATAATACAGAAGTAAAATAAGGTTGTTAACAGTTAATGGGGTAATAGAAGTAAAATAAGGATGTTAACAGTTAATGGGGTAACAGAAGTAAAATAAGGATGCTAATAGTTAATGTGGTAACAGAAGTAAAATAAGGATGTTAAAAGTTAATGGGGTAACAGAAGTAAAATAAGGATGTTAACAGTTAATGGGGTAACAGAAGTAAAATAAGGATGATACCAGTTGATGGGGTAACAGATGTAAAATAAGGATGATACCAGTTAATGGGGTAACAGAAGTAAAATAAGAATGTTAACAGTTGATGGGGTAACAGAAGTAAAATAAGGATGTTAAAAGTTAATGGGGTAACAGAAGTAAAATAAGGATGTTAATGGGGTAACAGAAGTAATTTTAAGTTTAACTGCATTACAATTTTTTACGCAAGACGTGGTAGATGTGGAGAATTCAGAACATGGCTTGCTAGTCTACCATCAACTTGCAGGAATACTCTTATAGGTAAACTAGAGATAAGAAAGAATATTCAACTTGCAGGAATACTCTTTTGGGTAAACTAGAGATAAGAAAGAGAATTAAAAAAGCAGGTTTGATCTAGAGAACAACTTACTTTAGAGTTTTATGCAATTTGTCGTGCACCACCCTCCTGAAAACCTGGAACCATCCCTTTAAATTAATATTTCAGAATGTGTTTATGATTACAGTCCAGATCCTGATAATATATCTCTTCTTCCATCTTCTGTTCCAACTCAGTTTACTAGGTATTATATATATGTATATATGTATATTATTCTCTGCAATCGTAAACTTGTTTCTTTCTTTGCCTAATCATTGAATAAGCCATTAAAAGGTGGTATTCAAGATAGAAGACATAAACCTTAGAATCGTCAGATTTAAAGAGTTTCAGATCGCCTTTACAGTCTCATTCTTTGTGGGTAACCCTGTAAAGTAGTACTAGGGGCGAAACTGTTGGGTCTGGTCACCCTTAAAAAAAACGAATTTAGTGATGACCTTTAAGGGAATGTGGCCATATTTTCAAGTGACCTTCCATTTGTAGAGGAGCATTTCTAATTCACAACGATACCTTTTGAAACTCTGTCTGAAAGAAAGACGGAGATATTCTAATTTTTCCAGCTGAAAATTGATTTGCTTTGAGAACCATTTAAACTCAATCTCGGCACTCAATTTTCAGTTAGATCAAACAGGATATATCAATCTTATATGATTCATTGTCTGGATTATTGTTTATTTTCTAGATCTGCTTATTTTCACATTCTTGGCTGGAGTTGGAGTATATTGTTTGGAGCAGACTGGAGTCAGGTTCAGATACCAGATCTTTACTCTCTTCTTTTAAACAGGAAACATTATACAAACAAGAAAATTTATAATTACAAATGATTCTGGGTTTTCTTCTAAACACGGGAGTTAATGGCCTCGTTTTGAATAAAAAAATTACGGTACTTATTCTTCAACCGAATATTTTTCGGTAACATTTTTCAAAAAATAATATAAAAAACATTGATACACATACTGCGTCTGCAGGGTCTGTAGAGCCCGAAATTTAAAAGAGTATCGTTGAACGAAACTTCCGAGTTTTCTTTTTGGGGTGTTAATATTTGTGTAGATTTGGATTTAAGAGATTCGGTAAAAATGGAGAATATGAAGAAACTAAATAACATAATATTTGATAACAAAAATATTGATATACACAAAACTGTCATAACCCCATTCATGAAACCCGGGTTCTAAAGCTGGTTTTCATAACGATACCCTGTCTTAAGTTTTGGGCTCAGGGGTTTGTTTTAAACTTCGATTTTGGCATATATTTAGTAGGCATTTTAACGGAGTACACTTTACATCAATACTAAATGATCTGAGCTGGGAACTTTAGAATGGGAAACCATTAATCCCGACTGCTTAATCCGAATATCCAATGTGGACACTTTTGATTTCTTGCTTAATCCACTCTTTATTAGAAATAGTATAGAAAAATCAAAACCGGTTTTTTAAAATTAAGAGTGCTTCCCGTTTCTGTATATTAATATTAAATGGCACGCAAAATTTCAAATTTATCGGCTTCTAATACGCGACTCTGATTGATTGAATTTTATACACTTTTCAGGATAGAAGTACAAGATTAAGTTAGTTTCGAGATCAAAAAAAGAGATGATCAAGCATTAATCTCAATATCCACCATTCTAAAGTTCCCACCTCAGAATGAAAATATGGAATGAAACAAATAAATATCAACGGTATGGACGAGGGGAAAATATTATTAGACATTTGAAACGAACAATTATATCAAGACAAAGAATTTGGCGGTTTTTTCACTGTTTAATTTAAATATTTGTATATAAATGTTTTTATATCTATAGGAAGGATATAAGTATAGATTCTCCTAGTAGAGAGGAAGATGTATACATTTTCTAACATTATCTAATTAATTTGATCTAGGAAAGATTGTCTGATTGTCACATGACACACTCTGACTTATACACTTCAATATTCAAAACTATCACGGATACTGGTCAAAGTCAAGTTAAAAAACTTATCCTTAAACAGTATTTAAACAGGTAAATAAAAATACCGCGTAAAAATATCAAATAATCATTTATATGTTATTCTTTTTAGAAATGTACAAAGCATAAGAGAGATGCAGGGAATTTTTAACATGATTGCGCAAATGCCCCGTCTTGTTCATATAGAAATAGGATATGCCGCCAACGACGCCATCTTGTGGCAGATTGCTAGAAACTGCAATTTTCTCAGGTAAATGTAGAAAAATCTTTAAAAATTTGTTCATTTCCAAATATGTCCATTTAAAACTTTTTTTTCAGAGTATTAATGATTTCTGGAAATGATGTGACAGATAAGGTATTATAATATCATTATAAAAAATATCATTGATGAAATATTTATTGCACAACGTACACGTTCATGTTTCATTCTGATTTGTATCGCTTTTCCAACTGGTTGGTTCGGACAAATGATATTTCATTTGAAGGTACAAAAAAATTGCAATACTTAATCTGCAATAGGCATTCCTATCGTAAAAAGAAAAAGGTTTTATTTATAAAATCCTTCCAGAAAATGAAAATTGCACTTGTATGCCAATACGATATAGGCATTTGGTGATTACTTGATATATGAAAAAGTTTTATATTTTATTTTACTCCGAAATTGCATTATCCATTGGAGAAACTAGGCTTAGTTATATTAATTACTCCCAGAAACTGCATTACACTTTTTCTTTGTATACAGAGATGGGATACTTCTTGGTGAATACTTTGCTTGGTCTAATTAGTTGCATGTGCAGGGGTTGTTCTGGTTGTGTGGACTTAACTGGGAGCTCAGAGAAGACGACATTTATCTGAACCCAGATAATGCCGAAACATTTCTCTACCAAGAGTCAGAACAAACTAAAAGTTGCGAAGATTTATCTGCAGAAGATAATCCTGATGGACAAGAAAATTATTTGCATTTTAAAAACAGGTCATCATCGAATACAGCAAGGAATGTAGACTAAAGGCATGGGCGATAGGAAAACTAGTTCCTCAGCAGTCCAAATACCTAACAGAAACTAGTTCTTCAGCAGTCCAAATACGTCACAGAAACTAGTTCTTCAGTAGTCCAAACACGTCACAGAAACTAGTTTTTCAGCAGTCCAAATACGTCACAGAAACTAGTTCCTCAGCAGTCCAAATACGTCACAGAAACTATTTCTTCAGCAGTCCAAATATGTCACAGAAACTAGTTCTTCAGCAGTCCAAATACGTCACAGAAACTAGTTCTTCAGCAGTCCAAATACGTCACAGAAACTAGTTCTTCAGCAGTCCAAATACGTCACAGAAACTAGTTCCTCAGCAGTCCAAATACGTCACAGAAACTAGTTCTTCAGCAGTCCAAATACGTCACAGAAACTAGTTCTTCAGCAGTCCAAATATGTCACAGAAACTAGTTCTTCAGCAGTACAAATATGGCACAGATTAAAAAAAAACGCTAATCCTATCGCCCATACCTGTAGTCTACATACCTTGGAACACAGAAATGAAATTAAATTTAGAAATTAAGATTTTACTTAACTCAAAACACAAAAACATTTACAGATTACACAGTAAAAAAACGATAGAAGTCATTTTGGTATAAAAAGGTGCTTTTAATTAATAAATATTTTAATTCAATAAGATTCTGCATTAATTATAGTTTTATTAAATATTGATTAAACAGGTTTTTTATTTTTGTTTCTTTCCTAGAATTGAATACAGAATACCTGAATATCTTATCCATTTGAATATTTCCGGGTCGCTTCATGTTACTGAGCTGGGGGTCAAACAATGCTGGTCAACCTTCAGGTACATTCTAATATCATTTATTGAACAAGAGTGATAATCTTGAAATGGCGTTTTTATAATTTTATGATCTTTGGTTGTATTGAAAAGATTGGACTACTTTTAAAAATCTGAAATATCAGTGAGAATTTAAGAACAGATTATCAGGGGAAAGGCAATGTTTTTCTTTTGTTATGACGTAGAACTAGTTTTATTAAAATATAACAAAAATTGTAAACAAAAGTAGGAATTTTCCTTTTCCTTGCAATAAAACTAGTTTTAGGGCGGTCCTCATACAAAACATTTGGTGTGTTGGTATAGGAAAAACAATCGTTTTTGCTTTTATACTGTTATACAATTTTTACCCTAACAGAAAATAAAGGCTAAAACGAACCAAAAAACGATCCCTAAAATGAACGTGTTATAACGATCTTTTTGGACTTTTTAAAAAAGAATGTTTAGGATAAAAGTATTGCCAAGTTTATGAACAGCGAGCCTTAAGACAGTTTTGAAGTCTTGGAAGTTTTATTAAAGTTTTACAAAAACAATCCGAAACGATGAACAGCACTATGGTGTCACAGTATAATGTAAGTAAACCCGGTCATCCTATTCTTATTTGACCTTTCATTGGTCTGACATCGTAGGAATCTCCGTCAGCTGAATATCCAGGAGTCTCATCTTTGGTCTATTCTTGCTGACGTTCAGATCTCCGAGCTGTATACTGAGTTTATTCTTCCAATCAGGAAGATATTTAAAGTCAGATAAATCAAATTTACAAGTTTATAATTTGTTTTATAGTGAAACTAGCTTGGGAACTCAGCTTTGTCCGGAGACCCAACATTTTTTTCAAATCATGCTGAGAACATTACCTTGGTTCTTAAAAGTTACCAAATAAAAATTTATCGCAAATCGGCCAACTGGTTCTTTAGTTAGTGTCGGACAAAAAAAAAACAGACAAACAAATTTGGAGAATTACTTTATATTGATGACTTACCACTCCTATACCATGGCCAATGGTAGGCTAAGATAAATTTTCAATTTGCCAAATTCATAATTCGTATCACTGTGGAATCAAATTTCGGAAAAAAATACAAACAGGGGGAGAAAATTTTTTATATCTGGCCACAATATCATTGAATAAAACCTTCTTCAATTTTCAGATATTTCCCATTTCTTTCTTAACTTTGAATATCTGAAATCTAGATCTATTGAGTTAACTACTAGTTCCAGGTAAAGTCTTGATCAGGCATTATGGGGGGGGGGGGATTAAGAGGCTGAGCTCCTTCAACAGGAAAACTACTCCTCCCCAGACCGTGGATATGTACACCCTTGAACCTTATTTACCGATTATTGATGGAGTCTGCAGTTACTATCAATAATTGGTACAAAAGATGGAATGGAGGGTTCAAGACTTGATCTGAACAGGAAAAGTCATTATTTTGTAAGTTAATAAAAAATGTGTCTTAAATTAGTCATATCTCAGCTGAATTCTGAAAGTTTGGATTGATTTCTAATTTCTGAAGAGAGGATTTATAACCATATTGATGAGTAGAGAATAAAAGGACGTTTACTTTTTAAAATCATAAATATCAAATAGGTATATTCGCAAAGGATACGCAATTAATGACTACCTAAATGCTACCAAATATAACAATTTGAAGGTGGAAATTGGAAAAGTCTGAATGGAAAGCTATTTAATGGCAAATTACCAAAATTTAAAAAAAGACTATTGTAAAACTGCAGAAAACGATGATATTACGGAAAATAAACTGTAAATATTCCGTACAGTATGGCTAAAGTTCATCCATTGAGGAACCATCAAGTCAAACGGAAGTAAATTGAATGAAAGATTGAGATCTTTTATGTTTTAAACCGTAACTCATCTCATTTTAAGGACTGTAAAGAAAGTATGAAAGGCGGAATAGGCTGAAACCTGAGAATCTCAGGAGTTGAACGATACCTATAAGACATCTATCTGATGTTCCTGTCTCAAGAAATTGACATAAAACTGTGTCAAAATTATACCAAAACGTATTATGTAAGATATACGTCCGTATCACGTGACCAAAACTCCCTCCAATGGCAGTGCAGTATACTGGTCACCTGATATGCAGACGGAGACACTTGACAATAATACTGCACTGCCATTGGTTGGAGTTCTGGTGACATGTTCCGGACGCATAAATAATATTAAAATTCAAATAATAATAGGAGCAAACTGAAGATTTTCATTCTCCTCTGGGATATTGTTGTTTTCAGATTGGTTGCGTATTTGTTGAATATGATCTGTTTAATACTACGAATCTTATACAAAATCTTAAATATATACGTTTTGGTATAATTTTGACACAGTTTTTTATCAATTTCTCGAGACAGGAACATCAGATAGTACTCTTATGTCTCAATCAACTCCTGCGATTCTCAGGTTTCAGCCTGTACCCCCTTTCATTTTTCATTTACAGTCCCTTTAAAGAGTTTTGTTTTGAACTTATATTATATGTTATCAGATAAATATAATTTTTTCTTTCTTTGAATAAATTGATACTAGAGGAGTTAAGAGGTCACGCAGTCGTATCAGTAATGTCATTTGATCTTAACCTTCTTCCTCTGTTTAGCTAAGGATTATACAGGATTATATGTGAATTCCTCTGTTTAAATAATGATTAAATAGGATTATATGTGAATTACTCTGTTTAGTTAAAGATTATATACGCACAGTGGAAGAAAAAATGTGGAAAGATTGCAGTTTATACAATTCAAACATTTTAATACTATTTTATAAGCTGACTAATCAGTCTGGTTTTTATTATTTTAGACACAACTATCTGAGTGGGGCGGCTAAACTGTTCCCTGCCTTGGAGGATTTAACAATCTGGAACTTTGATTCAGAATACTCATCCCCCCTGCAGGTATACAGTGGTCTACATATACTCACCCCCCCCCCTAGGTCAGCAGGTATACAGTGGTCTACATAGAGGATTTAATAATCTGGAACTTTGATTCAGAATACTCATCCCCCCTGCAGGTATACATTGGTCTACATACACTCACCCCCCCCCCTGCACCACCAGGTATACAGTGGTCTACATAGAGGATTTAATAATCTGGAACTTTGATTCAGAATACTCATCCCCCCTCCAGGTACACAGTGGTCACCAGAATAAAGAGAAAAGAATTTGAAGTTAATCAAAAGTTTCATTTACTCTTTTATATCTTTGCTAAATAAAGTATAACTCACTATGAATGTCAAAAATAAAAGTCGGATAGATAAAAATAGGAAATCTAAAAACAAAAATACACTGCAAAATCAATGCCTAAACTTGGGAATTAAAAATAGTAGAAAAAATGGACTATCAGAGAGTTTTTAAAATAAAAATAAAAATTGTTTAAGAAACTGTGTTCAGAAGGAAATACATTTATATCCTATGAGTTTGAATTTATTTCTCGCTCTAGTAGTCAAAGGAACTGAGTTTTTGCCCAATAGTCTTATTTTTTATCCCTTTACCTTTTCAACCAGATGTCGACAACCGTTGATAATTCAAACTATGAATTCTGTTAGATCAAAAAGTCTAGATTTGAAATATTAAAGGTTTCCATCAGGTTGCCAATATTTAGGGACTAGAAAATTTGAGTTTGTGGCAAAAGCTCAATTCCTTTGATTTTAGAAATTTACAGAGTGGGAATCCTTTGATTTTAGGAATTTACAGAGTGGGAATCCTTTGCTAAATTAGAAACTTTGAAACTAAATAATCTTGGTTTCAAATACCTAAAAACTATTCTCAGGTAGTAGCTTTAAATCTTCTTAATTTCTGGCAAATGTTTCATGATTTTTTTCAACTTTCACAAAATTCTAAATTTCCTTACTCGTCTAATCTTTACATTCTGATTTTTTTTTTCTTTTGATAAATAAATAATAAATCAAGTCTGAAAAATATTTATAAAAAGTTTCTTTGATTGAATAAGATATACTACAGGGTGTCCCAGTGAACATGGGAATTCAATGACGAATTAGAGATCGTCTTTGTTAAGAAATAGCATTGTAATACCTGATTTCAAAAGCCATAATGTTTGCAAGAGTTTATTTTATGAAAACGGTAAATGGCTGCAAAGATGTGTCTATAATGTCTCTGCAAGAAGAACAGTGAAAACGGACAAGTTTACTTAGTTTGTATACTGCAAAATTGGACCGATTTCACTCTAAAAGATAAGCACTTCAGTCTAAATTTAATTATCACTGTTATTTATAATTTTGACAGACACATAACACTGAGTTGACACTTATGACGTAGATACAGCTGAACTGAGAGTGTACACAATACACATTCTGCGTTGGTATACAGCAAGGAACATATATATTTCTTGGTATACAGTAATTTTCTTGTTTATAAGTATAAGTACAACGAGGGAGGGGATGTAGTGGCGCCATGAGTCCCGAAAAAATGTTCTCCGAGCCTCCAGATTTACAGAATGACCTCCAGGTCCCGCAAAACTGTCTCTGTGCCTCTTACTATGCCTTCGATAAAATTTTGGCTTTTAAATCCACCAAAAACCTTTTTTCAAAAAATCTCAACACAATAAAATAGTTTACAATGATACATTAACATTTTGTATTAAATAGTTCATTTTAATTAAGATTAAAGATTTTATTTTTGTTTGACAAAATTTCTCAAATTCCTTAAATTGTAAAGAACTATTGCTGTTGTCGCTAAGGAACAAGATTCTGACGATGAACAGATAGACAAGGTATAACCCACAAATCAAAATCGATAATGCAGAAAACTCTTTATTTCCATAATAAATCAAGTCTGAAAAATATTTATAAAAAGTTTCTTTAATTGAATAGGATATACTACAGGGTGTCCAGTAAACATGGGCATTCAATGACGAATTAGAGATCGTCTTTGTTAATAAATAGCATTGTAATACCTGATTTCAAAAGCCATAATGTCTGCTAGAGTGAAAACGGACAAGTTTACTTTGTTTGTATACTGCTAAATTGGACCGATTTCACTAAAATATAAGCATTCAGTCTAAAATTAATTATCACTATGATTTATGATTTTGTCAAACGAATAACACTGAGTTGACACTCATGACGTAGATACAACTGAACTGAGATTGCACACATCCTGCGTTGCCACCTATTGTACTCGATAATCGATTTCGTATACTGTAATTTTCATGTTTTACTAAGTACAATGAGGGATGGGGTGCAGAGGCGCCATGAGCCCCGCAAAAATGTTCTCCGAGCCTCTAGATTTACAGAATGACCTCCAGGCCTTGCAAAACCGTCTCCGACACGTGCCTCTCGCTACGTCTCCAAGCCTTGGTCAGTCTGTCTCCATGCGCTCCGCATTTTGGTCTCCAATAAAAATATTTGGCTTTTACATCCACCAAAATCCTATTTTTCGAAAAATCTCACAATGATAAAATAGTTTATAATGATACATTAACAATTTGTATTAAATAGTCTATTTTAATGTAGAGAAAAAAGTTTTATTTTTGTTTTTCTAAATTTCACAAATTTCTTAAATTGTAAAGAACTATTGCAGTTTTGTATAAATTTCATATTATTTCACAGGGTTTTATGTACGAATCAAATGATATCAGTGGCAATTCACAGAACACAGTAGTTTTTAATCCTTGAATTTATTTTTTATTGTATGCTTTAGAAAACATTGAAGAACTATTTTTTTAAGTTGAATTTTTTTTAAATAGTCTACATATCTATAACATGCTAAACTAACAGGACAGGGCAGCGTTGTGGCTTGTACTTAATCTTGAATAAGTTTAATTTACTTATAAATAATTTTTCTTTTTGTGAGAGAATTCATTTATTTGACTGAATGTTTAGTCAATCATCTACCTGTCACTATACCTGTTACTATATGACGAACCCTCATTAATTTGCATTTTTATGATTAAATTTAATGCTAAGGACTGGAAAGAGTTGATATAATCTTCAAATTATGATGTCTTCAAAGATATTAAAGTTGTTTATAAAGGTCGTCTTTAATGCATACAAGCTTTATGTAAACCTTTTACAAATAAACAACTTAGGATCAATTAAATGAATTAATATTTCAAATTTGTCGATTAAAGGTTTCGTGGGGCCTGGAGGTCATTCTGCAAATCTGGAGGCTCGGAGGTCATTTTTGCAGGGCTCATCGAGGCTCTACAGTCTACACCCCTTACCTCGTACAATCGAATGCAGTCAAACATAAACAAACAAATTGTAAACATAGCAGACGAAAATCTTAACGATTACAACTTTCTCAGTAGATACACTATGTAAAGTCAAAGAATTATTTAAAAAGACGACATCGAAATCGTCACTCAGTTCCCATGTTTATTGGGACACCCTGTATGTAGCTAGTGGTGTAATTAAAATAAAATAAAATTTAGAGGGATTGGAACACAGCTTAAGTATATAGATATTGACAACTTTTCAATAGAAGAATCTCCCAATACAACAGTCAGGTTAGAACATATCTCGTTTATTATTTAATCATAATTAAAGGGAGTGTCTGGCTAAACATTGTAGATAAGCTGAGAGTGCAGTATTGTAGAGAATTTTTGTCGGGGGGCAAGATTTTAAAGTTATATTTTGCGCTCTTATTTTGCAATAATACACCGTACAAACGTCTAATAGGTCTCAAATAATTTCTAAAAAAAGTCTCTACAATACTGCACTCTCATACTACAATACTACAATACTGCACTCTCAGCTCAAACACTAATTTAAATTGTTTTAATAAATGCATTAAGAGGTTGAAACTTGTAACAATTAAATCTATGATGACAATACGTAGCCGACTAACATCAGTATTGACGGCTACACCGTTCAAATCACAGAATACCGAAATAATTTATTTCACCACTGGGCTGCCCGCAATTAATAATCACCTAAAATTCTTATGTACAGGGTTATACACAAAGGATGAAACTTCAAAGACGACTTTACAGAATTAACACTGTCTGTTACATCATATTCATAATTCCCTGAAAACTGTAAATTTGCCTCTTTATTTTCAAGATAATTAAATAAGCCAAATTGAAAGACTAAATTCAAGGAATTTAATTTAGTCTTGGGATTGTCACAACGTTTCCAGTCGTCTTTACAGTCTCACCCTTTTTTGGGGGACCCTGTATTAAAGATTGAATTTTGTCTTCTGTCTTGAATAAAGAGCATAATTATTTTTCTGGAAACTCATGTGTATGAAAAAAACACTGATTAAGTACAACGGTCTCTAGTGTCTTATCCTGTGTGATAACACTGTATAAGACCTTCTTCAACGATGATTTATTGATTTTTTTTTTAGCTTTAACANATGAATCCTTTCCTAATTCAAATTACAGGTTCTATATACTTTACCATAATTTTGAAAAAGGTAAAAAATTATTGAATAATAAGGGACACTTTAAAAAATGGTGTATCTAGAAAAACGCTACACTTACAAAACGCTACAGATATTCTGTAAACTTGCAGTACATTGTACATTATTAATTATCTATGATTGTAAACTTCTATCTAAAAAACATTTTTCATTTGAACTGGGTTTCAAATGAATATGTAACATGGTTAGCTTAAACCCTTTTTAATGTACATTCAACTTATAAACATGTGTGGAGATAGCTTATCTATGTTATATCTATCCTCGCTAATCCTATAAATACGCAAATCTTAAATGAGCCTATTTCAACTGTGCTGTAATATGTAACATGATTGCCTTTATCATGTGATATAAATAACGTCGTAAGAATTGTTATTACGTCTATTAACTTTAACTTGTTACATATAAACCTTAAATATAGTTAGTTAAAATCAGAACTTTGCTATGATTACAGTGTAAAGAGTAATTGTACCCCGTTGACTATTCGGGTTGAGATCATATCCCGTTTAGGGAAGAGATGGATTAAGGGCTTGGTAAATAGCAAATGCTTGTGTCCCTGTGTGGCATTTAGAGCCTAGGTAATAGCTTATTGATAGTTACATTTCTGTCCCTGTGTGGAAATTAGAGCCGAAGTAAAAGCTTGTTTTATAGCTATGCTTGTGTTCCTGTGTGACATTTAGAGCCAGAGTAATAGCTTTTTTGATAGCTATAGCTTGTGTCCCTTTGCGGCATTTAGAGCTTGAGCAATAGCTAGATTGATAAGCTACTCTTGTGTTCCTGTGTGGCATTTAGAGCCAGGTGGGTTGTGTCCTGGTTGACTTGGATAATGGACGGGTTGTGTTTGGACTAATACAGTCTGCTGAGACAAACTTTTAAGAGTAAGGCATTTACTACAAATGGTAGCAGCGGTGAGAGTAAAGATTAAAAGAACCCTAGTCAAATTCCAAGATCTCACAGGAAGAAAATACAGTGAGTACCCTGTGGAAAGGTCAACAAGAAGAACTGTGTCAGAAGGAAACCACAGTAAGTTGAGATTGAAATCAGAACTCAAAATGAATAGAGCTGTAAGAGACAGTTGTAACTGATGAAAGGATCAGAACACCGAATATGAAGGAAACCAGAGAAACAAGGGGGAACATTCAGCTTGAAGAATGGGAAGTAAAGAAGAAAAGATTGGAACACGGAAGATATTTGGAATTTCTAAGGCAGGAGGTAGAAAAAGCAGAGTTAAACGAAAAACAATATGAAGTACAGGATAAGATACAAGAAGTGAAAATAATGCTAGAGCAGGATAAGAAGATGGACGAGAAATAACAATGCATGAAACATCCGATAGGATTTGAAAAGTATGAGAAAGCATACAGAAATACATATGTGGAGATGGGGGAGCTGATCGAAGCTGATATTGAAGTAAGAATACTAGAGTTTATGGAGAGTGCTCCTGAACATAATGGAAAACAGGAGGAAGTATTAGAATTGTGCAAGAAGTTAGATACTCATCTGAGGAAATGGGAAATGGATATGATCCCAAATGAAGATATAAAGAGAATACTGCAGTCCTGCATCACAAGACCAGCCAGGCGAAAGATAATACTGTTTTTCCCAAAGGATTAGGAAAAATGAACAGGTTCTTACAGGAAATATAAAAAAGAAGCTGGAAACAGAGAGAACTTTGCCAGAAACAGGAATTCCTAGATAGGAAACAGGAAAGTAGTGAAGACACCAGAGGATATTATTCTGAAAAAAGGAAATTATGTCTAAAAACATAAACTACCGAAAACAGAAGTCAGTAGAATTCAAAGATGAAATGATCAAGGGACTGTATGATGAAAAGTTGAAGGAAACATGCAGTTTTTTATGCGGGAGACACCACAACAGGAAATAGAGATAGAAGCAATATTGGATTGTCAACTATCTTCAGATAGATATGAGATAAAAGATAAGTTTGCGGAAAGTTTTAAGACAATGGAAAATAACAAAAAAGCAGAAAAAATGTGGGAACCAGGAAATTTTAACACATGAAGTTCTAAGAAAGCAAAAGATCTAACAAGAGAGATCATGAAGTGGGGGAAACACAGAAAGTTAGCAAAGAATCAGTATCTTGTGAAGATGCAGCCAAAGAGGAACAGACATCAGATGATTGCGAGGACGAGGAACCAGAATGGTATAAAGATTTAAGGGAACTTATTTTTAAATGGGCTGAAGAGAATCCAGACTGTTTGAGACGGAATCCAGTCCTTTTCTAAGACAAAGATATGGAAAGCCTGGGATCAGATGATGATAATCAAGAGGATAGGAAGGATAAAGATTGGAAAGATACTCCCTAGAACATGGATGAAGAAATCAAAAATATCATCGCAGATAAGATAATATAAGATAAGATAAGAATTATACCGAGTTTAGGAAAATTTCCGATAATTAAATGATGTATCAGGAAGAAATATTTCGAGTTCAGACAATAAGAAGAAAATGAATAAAAAAGTCAAGTATATCCAGAAGAAGATTAGCTCCGAGTCCGTTTGAGGACTGAAGGGGTTACATCAATGTAACTATCCCTATTACAATCTATAGAGCACACACTGGTTACAGTACGATATTATAATTGACCATTTCCAATCACCCCCCCCCCCCATTAATTTTCGGCTCTGTAACCCTTAAACATTCAAAATAAGAAAATTCAAGTAAAAGCTACAAAAATATAATTTTTGATATTTTGATAGAAAAGCGTTTTTTTCTTTACTAGCGTTTTATGAGTGTAGCGTTTTTCTTCTTTGAACTAAATAATTTCAGGGTGCCCTTCCTCTGACTGAAGAAACGTTATTCAGCCTTCTTCATCATTGCTCTAAACTGGTTAAAGTTGGAAACCTTGCCAAGTGGAATATTCAGGAAGAGAATTTAAAGAAAAACCTCAAACATCTTCAAGTTATTTCTTTTAATTTAAATTTGATTTTATGCAGACAACTGTATGAACAGGGATCTTGCATGGAAAACATTTATATTGATCCTATCTTAATTTTAATAATTTTTTATTTTTAAAAATTCTTGCCTCAGGATATTGATGAAAGTATGGAAACCCTAAAATTGATCTTCAATTGGTCCAAAGTAGACAAAGAGGATAGTCGAGAGGATTGTCAATGGGGGATGTAAATACTCAAGGAGAATAATTGAGGGGATTGACAATATTCAAGAAGAGGATTGTCAGTATTCAAGGAGAAAAGGACATATGATTCTCATTGTTCAAGGAGAATAAAAGAAAAGATTGTCAATATTCAAGGAGAATAAAAGAGAGGATTGTAAATATTCCAGGAGACTAACAAATAATAGAGAGGATTGTAAATATTCAAGGAGAATAACGAATAACAGAGAGGATTGTAAATATTCAAGGAGAATAACAGAGAGGATTGTCAATATTCAAGGAGAATAACGAATAACAGAGGATTGTCAGTATTCAAGGAGAATAACAGAGAGGATTGTGAATATTCAAGGAAAATAGGAAATAAAATAGTATTCAAGGAGAATAGCAGAAAGGATTGTCAATATGCACAGAGATTAAATGAGAGTGTTATGTTTATGATTTATAAGATGGGATTATATCCGAAAAAAAGCTAGATTATACCATAATTGTTACAGTTTGCAGGGATTACGTTAGGTTGAACATTGAAGAAGAACTGCATAACTATATAGTTTTGATAACACTGCCGGCAAAGAACGGGTAATGATACAATGTAGATACAGAACAAGGAAAAGAGAAAAATCTAAGTATTTAAAAAAAATAAAAATCTCCCAAATGTAAACAGTATTTAATCATGTGATATAAAAATATAAATATATTGTGGGAAATGAAATAAATTTAAAGGGGAATTTCCCCTCTAATGACACAAACTTTCAAGGAGAATTCACGCTTTTATTGTTGGAGCTGTTTTATGGAGATTTTGCATGAAGGTCAGATTAGTGATTAACTCTATAGGAATGCATTTTTAAAATGTAAAAAAACATAAATTGAATAAAGTGATATTAAGCACCCCAGATGAGACAAAGGCAAAAAAGTTGAGAAATAAAAATACAAAACTCCTTTAAAAATGCAAGTTTCAGATTTTATGTTTTTCGATAACTTATTCCAGACCTACATCAATAATCCAGTTTCTATGCAAAATCTTAGAAGATTATCTTGAAAATAAAGATATACATACTTTTAATTTATCTTTTTTATATATTAGATACAACAAAATTAATGTTTTCATACTATTTATACAAATTTTATTGAAATCTGTGCAATGACTCATGAATCATGTGTTAAAAATCATAAAATCTCCTAGCTGTATGAGATCTATTTCTGAAGAATATTGGACACATTTTGAAGAAAAAAAAAAGGCTGATGGAATACAAGTAGAGTATTGCACAGTACAGGACAGCAAGACCAATTAAAATACTATGGAACGAACTTCATGCTGGGTTCACTTCTGCTTGTGAAATATAGACAGTGTGTCCCAAGAAAACTCTTCAGTGGGAGCAGAGCTTCAATTTTGGACATTTTTTACGTCCATTATATATATATTAACAAGTTAAAAGTTTACACCAATTAATCAGACATTTTGGTTTCAAATAACCAAAAATCTTCAATATTTGTCCAATTTGAGGCTCTATAGCTGCTGCAGATTTTTATTAGAACACCTATATATTTGAAATGTTGGATGCAGAAATGTTTATGTCCTCCAACTATAAAAACTTTTATTTAAATCTGTGCAATGATTCACGAAACATGTGTTAATGATTATAGGAGATCCCAGATGAAATCTCTCCTTTCAGACTTATCAGGCTATTAACAAAAGTATTTATATTAACACGTTTTAGATTAGTTTGTCATATTTGTAGTAGAGGAACTAATGAGCAGGATGTCTCACGAAACATGACAGTTGATGAATAGTTTTAAATATGTCTTCTTATGCATCGTGTACGAGATATTAAAGACTTTATGCAGTTAATTTTGTTAAATAAACGTTTACTCTAATACATTTTACTTTGAATTTAGTATTATCTTCTATACTTTGGGTATTCTCCTTTGTATCAAACAACTTTACAATTTATAGAAAGACATTTTTAAATATTTACCAATTGTCATGTTTCTGGGGACACCATGGAAGCAACCAGACTACCATATTAAGAAACCAAACACTGGCCAAATTTACTTACCCCTATGAATAAGCAACCTGGGACCGGAGCTAAAATGAATTTAAGCTAGGTCTAGCTAGAGGCGTTTGAACCACGTATCTTAGTTCAGTAATTGGGATTTGTCAGTCATATAAATGTAGACTAAATAGTAGGTGGATACTGGATAGTTCAGCAACCAAACTCAACTTAAACAAATTCAGTCTTTAAATAAGGGGAGGAAGGTCCCCACAATAAATTCTCGTCAGACAATTTTAAATTGACTAAAAATAACAAAAATTTTCGCCAATATGTTAATGCAAGTGATATCGAAAATTAATTCTCTAAGCTATTATCTTTATAACTATAATAACTTAAAATAGATTTATGGATCTAATTCTAGTATGCGAGAATAAAATCTACTTTATTCACTCTAAGGACTTTTTCGAATCTTAAATTATTATATTCAATGTTCCCTGCAACTGCACACTTCCGTTTTTGCTAGATCATTAAAATTAACTTATATTAATGGGCAAAGCTAAACATATATCAAAGTCTCTTTCTCAGTGTATGAAATAAATTTGTAAATTAAGAAGTTACTAATTTCAAGAAAACAGTAAAATAATCAAGTATTTGTATTTAACAATGATGCACACAAATATCAAACAAAATAAATGCGATTGTATATTCTGTCACGAGTTAGTTTATGTTTGTTGGTTTAACCATCACTTTTTGATATCTTGAGCAGAATTTGAACAAAGAACCGGTTCTGAAAACCGGTTTGAAGGTTCTTCTAAAATACTTGAATTTCCCGGATTAGACTGGGTGGTGGGGTTATTGACCCCAGATATCTCTAGGTTCAGGTTTACAGAACAGCATCAGACTTCTCAACTGCAAATGGTTCGGCAATATCCTCGGCAGAACAGTCAACAATCTTGACCTGTAAAAACAAGTTTAAATTTCGAATAAAATAAAATTACAATGTTGTTTGTTGTCAGCTAGATCCCATTCTGGATAAAGCACTTGACTCCCACACAAAGTACAAGACTAACTAAGAAACGGAAAAAACCGTTTATTTGAAACCTTAAATTCAAGTCACATAACCTTTTTCGAAAGAACATCACTTTAAAAAATAAAATAGCTTTTTTGCTCAACATTATGTTCACAGGGACAAACCATAGATAAATCCTACCATCAAATAATAATATTTTGTTTGAAGTTCTTGGGATGTCAAGAATTTCGCAATAGTGCCACCATCTACACAGGGTTACCCACAAAGAATGAGACGTTAATGATGACCTACATTATTTAAAATAACGACTTAAAGATACGTTTTAAATCTAATATCTTAACGTTTGGTTTTCTAAAGAAAGAAAGAAGTCAACCATTATGAAAAATTTCCATACATTTGTGTTGTAAAGTCTCATCATTTGTGCGTAATCGACAATCGGTGTATTATAAAGCGTTTAACACACGTTAAAACCTACAACTAGATCATCATTTGTGCGTAATCGACAATCGGTGTATTATAAAGCGTTTAACACACGTTAAAACCTACAACTAGAAAACCTCAGTTAAAACCTACAACTAGAAAACCTCTGTTAAAACCTCAGTTGCAACCCTACAGCATGAGAGCTTCAATTAAACCCTTGCAACACAAAAACCTCAGTTAAAACCTACAACAGGAGAACCTCAGTTAAAAACCAAACAACATGAAAACGTTAAAAACCTACACCAAAAGAACCTCAGTTAAAAACAAACATGAAAACCTCAGTTAAAAACCTACAACAGAAAAACCTAAGTTAAAAACCAACAACATGAGAGCCTAAGTTAAAAACCCACAACATGAGAGCCTAAGTTAAAAACCTACAACATGAAAAGCTCGATTAACAACCTGCTCCATAAGTAACTGAGTTAAAAACCCATGAAAACCTAAATTAAAATTCTACTAAGTACCAAATTACCTCTTTTACTGGCTTGTCTCTACCATCGGTCTTGTTGTTTTCAATCTTCCTTACAACATCCATACCCTTGATAACCTTAAAACAAGAAAATTAATAACAAGCAAATTTAAATTTAGAATTTTTTTACCCCTTCTTATCAGAATTTCCCAATTGGTTGTAACGTTTTGTTTGCAAGAGCATCCCATTTTATTTGGATTATCTCAAAGCTTCAACGCCAAAAAATTCTATATTTTACATTTCTTGAAGTAGAATTGCACATTTATATTATAAATATACAAACAGTTTCACGTTATGTGACATGTAACAATTTTTTTCTTTCTTCAAACTTCAAAATTCGTCGTTATATTTCTTTATCAAAAGAAGAATGGCAACAATCATTACAACATTACAAATATATTTACCTTGCCGAAGACGACATGCTTGCCGTTGAGCCAGGAGGTCTTCTTGGTGGTGATGAAGAACTGGGAACCATTGGTATCCTTACCTAAATCAAAACATTCATGAATTTTTAATGAAAATTTTTTTTGATGAAAATTTCTTGTTTTTTGAAATTTGACAAAAGTGAATGGTAGATTCTTGATCTTCATAAAAAAATTACGGTCAAAAATGTTGTCTATTCTTAATTTTAGTTAAATGATAGTTGAATTATGAAGCTGAAAGCTTGATGTGGAAACACTTGTTCAGAGACCGAAAACAATCAAAAGTTAATTTCTAACGGGAGGGAAGGTTACTTATTACCCATTTAGATACATAATCTTCAATCTTATTTTGTAAGCTATAAACATACCAGCGTTGGCCATGGACAACCATCCGGCTCCGTAGTGCTCCAGCTTGAAGTTCTCGTCGGCAAACTTCTCTCCATAGATAGATCTAGAAAAAATACAGGATTTAGAAATAATTTTGACTGATATAATAGATTCAGCTCCCCCCCCCCCATAATATATCTATGTTACCATTATAAAAAATATAAATAGATAAAAACGCTAGTTCCCCTCACACAAATATGCCCCCACTCCTCCCTCAATTAACAAGGAAAAGAAAGCTTACTTAATATTTCATTGATAATTATCATTTCAACATGAAGAACGACTTTTGCCCAATTTCCTAGTCGTGCAACCGTAGGTACAACCATAGGTGTTATCTATCTATCAATTTATCTCCAGTGCTCTTGCTGAGAGTAATCATAGTGTGGCTAGGTTGTGCTTAGGGTAGCACGACTAAAAAATTGGGCATTATTTCTTCAAATTGAATAATTATACACAAAGTACACACTGTATGCTTAGTTCCAGATAAAACAAATTCAAACTAAGTAGATCACTGATCCGAATCCTAAATCTGTCCTGATAAATGTCGCTGGAATATGAAGTATAAATATGGTTCTAACCTTCCTCCAGTTCCATCTCCCCTGGTGAAATCTCCACCCTGGAGCATGAAGTCCTTGATGACTCGGTGGAACTTGGATCCCTTATATCCCTCGCCCTCGGGCTTTAGGGCCAACTGGTAGAAGTTCTCAACGGTCTTGGGAACAGTGCCGCCGAACAGACCAATTTCAATTCGGCCAGCGGCCTCACCGCCGATGGTGATATCAAACCAGACTTTCTTATTAACCTAAACCAATAGTAAATGACTATGATTTCTACTTTTTTTTACAATAATATGAGGCGTCGGAGGTGGAGGGGATGGAGGGTATTCTGTAAAATGTAATTTCTTGTTGTTACCTTAGGTCCATTCGCCTGGGCCTCAGATGATCCACAGCAGTTTGCCAGGAGGATAAATCCGGAAATAAGAAGAACACCGGTAACAACCTTAATTTAAATATTGTCAAATATAAACTAATTTCTCGGTCTTATCTGGCAACAAAAGCTGGAAAGGAAGCAGGAAAGGGATCTCAGCACAGAATAACGCGTAAAATGTGAGAATGAAGTGTAAAACATTTAATTCGTCCATCTAAATAAAGCTTATANCACCGAAAAACCGTACAAATTAAGTAACAAATATTAATCTAGTCTTGTTTTCAGAATTACTAAACATGTACTTCAGACTGCAGGAAAAGATGAAAAAGGAATAAAAAGTGTTGAGTGTGTTACCTTCATGATTCTGACTCTGCCCCCTGAAGACAGCATTATATACTTTACACGGTCTATCTTGACCAATTATTAGAGAACTATAAGGGAGAGAATACGGAACAGTTTGAACCTGGGAAATGTCGTAAATATTCAAAAATTTCATGAAGACTAGTAACAATTATGAGTATTAAATTAATTAAGTTGATATAATGCTCCCTATACGACTTCAACCTGTAAGGAAATTGGGTCTGTGTTTCTCAGATGAGGTTTTGAAACAGAATAACCTAAAATAAAAGCAAAGCTGTTATTCTCTGCCTATCAAAAATAAGCCGAATGCCGTTAACCAATAGAAATCAAGAGAAATCCTCATCATCCAATCAGAATGCAGCAGGGAATAAATCCGACCAATAGGAGACTGCCACTGCCTTAAACCTGATAAAGGTTATTGTGTACATCCACATCATACACTACACCGTACACTTTTTTACCAAACCAAATATTTCCTGTCATTTGTGTATGAACAAGGAATGAAAAAAATAGGAAAAATACTCTTTTTGACGCAGGGATTTCTTTTCAAGGCTAATTGTCGCCATTTTTGTGTTCCACCAAGTAGTTTTAGGAACTTTTCTTCAGTGAACCAGTGCCCTAAAATGGAATTAAAGAAAACTTTAAAGGATTGGAAATTTCATGATCCAAAACTTGCAAGTCTTCCGTTAGATCCTGAGACAGAAAATTTCATCAGGAATCATATAAAATCTTTTTCCATCTGTTTTGATTGATATTAAATTGCAGATTTCTATTGAAAAACTTTAAAACTCACCACAATTCAGAATTTGCGTGTTATTTTGGGACTGCTGGGAAGGGGTTGAGGCCGGGTGAACTGTGTCTGTCCTAGAGAGCGGTTGGGTCCGTCCTAGAGAACGATTTTTGGACCCCCCCTCCTATCAATGTTGTACATGACCACTTCTTCAACAATTTTTAATTAAATTAGTATTTATTTAAGATAGGGGTATATTCCTAGGGAACGATTTTTGGACCCTTTTGTTTTTTATTCTTCCTTTTATTACTTA